AGTGTTTGCCAATGTCCACCATTCTAGTTAGTTCTTTCAGCAGGGTCAGGGCCTGGGGACTCCTTAGCTGACCCAGTCTTACTTAGGCTCTTGCTGGAGATGTTAATCCCTTCTGAGACCTGGCTGGTCCATCCGCAGTGTTCTATGTCCTTCCTTAGAAAACAAAGAACTTTGGCACTTTTTGCACTATACCCAGGAGCCTAAGAGAGGCTCAAGGATGCTAGCTCAAGTCTTCTCTCTGCTTCACTGCCATCTTCACCCTGGTTCCTCTCCAAAAGGAAGCAAGGCAAAATCTATCCAAATCCCCACTTCCAGAAGTTTAGCCTAGAGGGGAAAAATCAGATGCTTTCCTGACCTCTGGCTTTACCTCTTCTGCTAATTCTTACCCTAGTCCACCAGGCTGGAAGAGGGGGGCTTTTTCACAACTTGCATTCATGTGGTAGAAACCTTCATATGACACAGCTGGTGTCCTCTCTACCCCTGATTGAGACTGAAAATCTACAGCCTACTCCAATAGGACATGCTAATGGGACATACATGAAGTTAGAAAATTATTTATTCTGACCAAAGACTGGCTTTCGGGGCACCTGGGTAGCTCAGTCATTAAGCATCTGCCTTCGGTTCAGGTCATGATCCCAGGGTCCTGGGATCGAGCCTCGCATCGGGCTCCCTGCTCCGCGGGAAGCCTGCTTCTCCCTCTCCCACTCCCCCTGCTTGTGTTCCCTCTCTCGCTGTGTCTCTCTCTGTCAAATAAATAAATAAAATCTTAAAAAAAAAAAATTCACTAAAAAAAAAACTGGCTTTCAATACTTATTGCAACTCGAAAATCCCATCTTGGAGATCAACAGCAGAGCATCTTCCCTTCCTTCTGTTGGCATACCTAAGCAAATGTCCACTGAATTGAATTTGCTTGGCTGTAGGATGGGGGATAGGGACACTGAAAAAGCCCCAGCAACATGGTCAGCCCAGGTAAGGATTTCAGACTTTACAAAAGGTAATAAGAATCCACCGAAGGGATTTAAGATGGAAAGTGACATGGTTAGGTAGTATATTACAGCTATTTGGGAGATAATAGTAAGCAAATATTTATTGTGTGCTTATTAAGTGCCAAGTACTATTTTAAAGTGATTTACATGTAGTAGCTCATTTAATCCTCATAATAGAAATTAGAGGTAGATATTACCATTATCCCCATTGTATATATATGGAAACTGACACACAGAGATATTATGAAGTTTGCCCAGGACATCAGAGGGTGAGAAGGGGGGTTAGGATTTGAATCTAGTCAGTCTCAAGAATCCAGGTCCCAGGATCTTGACATTTATGGGAACAAATGATATGTGTATGGGGTGGGTGAAAAACTGGCACTAGAAGACCAGTTCTGATGCTGTTGCAATATTCAGATAAGATGTGATGGTGGCCTGGTGAGGGGGAGTGCCATGGGACAGAGAGGCAGAGTGAGTGGGAGAAATATTGGAGAGTGTTTTTGATGGAGTTGGTAACTGACTGGATATGGGTCCAGTAGGGAAGAAATCTAGGATGATCTCTGTGTTTCTCTTCATTGAGGTAGAAAAAGCAAGAAGAATCACTCTTTCCCCTTGCTCTACCCTCTGCCCCATCCCATGTGTCTTCTGCTCTTCTTGATCCCGCCCTCAAGACTTACCTCCTCTATGAATGCTTCTCTAACCACCCAGCCCATGGGAATCTATCCTATGAACAACTGAAACACTCATTTTCATACCTTTCATTTGATATTTCATTTATTCATGTTTTCATTTATGACTCATTCCAAAGTCAGCAATTCTATGCAGCTTCATTATGTATCTCTTTTCATGTTCAACTTATCTTCCTAATTAGGTCTGGAAACTCCATGGTAGTGCAAACATTTTTTTTCCCCATCTCTTGGATTCCCTTGGAGCCCAGCTCTGGGCTAGGCCAGAAATAGGCTAGAAATAGTTACTCAATTCACTTGAATTAGGGAGACATATTAGAGGCTTTCAGGAAAGAGCAGGATGAGGAATATAATCCACAAAACAAGAGGACAGTGAAGGAATGGAGACATCCCAGGTCAAGGGGCTTGTCTACTAAGAGAATAAGCATAAAGCAGGGGGTGGGAAGGGAGGTGAGGAGAGGAAGAATAAAGTAAAATGACAACTATTTTCACCATGGGGGAACCTGGGCCTTGTTCCTAAGGGAGATGGTGCTGATAGAGAGGAAGGATGGAAGGTGCTGAGAGAGAGGCAATGAGAGAAAAAACAGGGCCTGGGGGTGAGTGGGGTGCTGAATAGAAGGAATGAGCTGGATGGGATGGGGCACAGAAACTTCATAGATGTCCAGTCCCAGACAGTTTTATGAAAACATTGAGGCTGGGCAGTGATCACTTCAGTCTGCTCTTAACTGACAGCACATTAGTTACAGTTTTGAAGGGGTTCAACTGGGAAGACCAACATGTTAGAGGCATAGGAGGCAGGATAGAGGGGAGGAATGAGTGGATGACATCTCTGATGCCAGATAACCTCATTTTTTTCAGAGGATTCTGAGGCATCTTCTGCCCTGGCAGGGACAGAGAGGATTGAGTGCCTAGCAGGGTGGGGATTCAGAACAGCTGCTACAGTGATGCTGAGGGCATTGGCAAGCAGTTGTTAAGAGACTGAGGAACCAGTGGAATTTACATAGTAGGTTCCATGCAGAGGGCCCAGGGCACATGGCTCCATTACATATTTTTCCCCACAACAGTCTGGAGTAAGAGAATGGAAATGTTCAGAAAGGAGGCATAGAGCCAGTCCTCACCCTCATTGCTGCATCCTGTACACCAGCCAGTGCTGGACAATGCCAGGATAAAAAGATGGATCGAGGGTAGGCCTCTCCCTGGGACAGCTCACAATCTGGGGGAGAGGACAGATAGATACAGTATAATGGATAGCTGCTATGACTGGAAAGACCCCAGTGGATTATCTAGACCTCATCTGGTCTTATGAATAAAGAAATTAAATCAAAAAAATTTAAAAAGTCAGTTTGCCCTGAGCCCCTTCTCTCCAGACCGAGAATTCCAAGGCTTACCCTCCTTTCATCCTTGCTGCCTGTGTGCTATACCAGTTGTGTCCATCTCTCCACTCCTTCGGATTACACAACCGTGAATCAGGAAACTGTTGAATGTGTCTAGCAGTGTTGGTCAGTTACCTTAAGTGATTCCAATATTTAAAAAACTGGGTTGAGAAGTATGAGCTTCCAGAGGAAGAAAATGAGCAAACAGAGAGATTGGAGGGGCACGAGGAGCATGAGGTGTTGTGGGATACAAGGAGACAATGTTGAAACAGTTTAAATGATAAATGGATGTCGAGTGCTCCTGAGACAACAAGGGTCAAGTTTGAAATGTGTTTCTTGGAATTAGTGACATGGAAACCAGCTATAACCATAGGAAGAGTTGTTGAAGTGACGGATATAGAAGCCAAGATGAAGTAGGCTGGGAAGGGAAAATCATGGCAATTAATTTGAAACTATGGAGAAAATATTGTCAACTCTGAAAAGTTTGGCTATGAAAAAGGAGAGAATTAGGATGTGACCAGATGGGGGACAGGGATTCCAGAGTGGAAGGATGGGGAGGACTCTCTCTACCACTTCCTGCCTCCCTCCACCCAGTTCCTAATAGAGGGAGAGGTTAGGATCTATAGCAAAGTTGTTGGCCTTGACCTAGAAGAAAGAAGGAGAAGTTGTGGCAGATGTAGAGCTTCATGTTTTGTGGTGTTTCCAAGCACAACAGGGAATAGACAAAATATAAATTCCATAAAATTCCATTAAAAAATCTCCAGATCATAGACAGTTTTCAATAAATTTAAAATACACTTAGTTTAACAATTTCAAGATCCACTCTCCATCTTCTTTTCTTCATGTAAATGTACCACTCAAACAGTTGAATTCAAGAGTACATAAAAGTCATCTGGTAAAAGTATACTTGCATAATATCAAGTTAAATAGATCACAGTTCTCAATAGTCAGTTAAATGCCTTCAGCCAACCCTCGCATTTGCTTGATTGGGGGCCATTCAAAAATAATAACTTCTAAGCATCACATATTACTTATTACTGATAAGGCAAAATAGGCTCTGCCATGCTAGACTCTCGTTGGGAATGATAGTAATTTTAAAATAATATTGAACCTCCTTCCTGTCTCAGGCAGACCACAGGCCAGCACAGCCCACAGAACCTGAAGATTGATTGCCTGTGCTGCCCCTTTATTTTCTGTCCACTGTCTGTCCTAGTATCTCACTCTGGGGACATTTTTTGTGGCCCCAGTCCCCAGGAGGAGCCAGGTGAGAACAGCTATAGTGGAGCACTGCCTGCATGAGTGGCCACAGCCTGAAAGCCAGGAGACACCGAGTATCAGCCTGTAGGGCTACTGCCCCTGCCACCATGGGCACCAACTCCTCTACAAGAGTGTCAACTGGCCCTGGCCAGACCTGTTCAGGGAGAGATGGCAGTCCCAAGCGGTTGTCTGGAAGACTGACGGACCAGTGGGTGTCAGAGTGACCCAGAGAGAGGAAGAGCCGGGCAGAGCACCATCTAGCTCCTTGGGGCTCCCCAGAGGAACTACTGACACTACCCAGGAGCAGGAGTTTCTGGAAGCTGACTGGCTTGGGGAGCAAGCAATCAAACAGGGGGCATGCAACGCTGCTGAAACAGGATCCCCCGGGGGCCCTTGCTGCACAGGTTTGAGGGGATCCTGGGGGATGAGGTAACAGATTCATGGTGAGAGGCTCCCCCTACACAGTCCCTGCACTGGATCCAAGGAGAAGGGCGGCCCCAGTGATGGACATGACCTGGGAGCTCAGAGTAGCCTCCTTAAGTCACTGGACAACACTTCTCAGTGTAGGGCCTGATTAACTTCCCCACCTCCACTCCCACTAGAACTGAAGTACCATGAATCTGGAATCCCAATCAGAGTCCAGCTCATCGGAAACTGTGCCAAACTCCTAATCAATGCTGATATCCCAAACTATCTCCATGTGGCCATCCTACCCTCCACCACCACTCCAAGCAGTGGACCTAAAGAGGAAGCAAGGTTTTATTGATTTGTCTTTCCCTTGGTTACAGCTCCAAAATGGTCAGGAGCTACAAGAGCTTCAGAAAAGGGCAGAGAAATATCCATGTGCCAGTCCTCGCTGGCTATGGGGAAGCAAGGTTAGCCTCATAGTCTACGACCCGGACTACATGAAGGTGATCCTGGGGCGATCAGGTGAGAACAAACCTACTTGTCCGTTGGAGTGGCTTTACCCACTTGGATACATTCCTGGGGGACTGTGACATTCCAGAAGAGACTGCTGGCTCAGTCATCAATATCTGACCCTCTACCTGCCATCCTCCCAGCCCAAGAGCCAGCAGAAGCCCAAATACAAGTTACTGTTTGAATGCTTAAACACCTGTGAGGGATTACCTCTTTCTCTCCTTTCTCTCCTTTCTCTCTCTTTCTTCCTTTCTTTCTCTTCCTTTCTTTTCTCTCTGTCTTCCTTTCTTTCTCTCTTTCCTTCCTTCCTTCCTTCCGTCCTTCCTTCCTTCCTTCCTTCCTTCCTTCCTTCCTTCCTTCCTTCCTTCCCTCCATTCCAACTTGCCACCTTTTCTTCTTTCCACCTTTCATTCTTTCCTTCTTTCTTTCTAACTTTCTTCACCACAGTGGTGTGACCCCAGAACTCAAGACAATCTCCTATCCATGATGGCTTGGGTGGAACCCCGACCTGTTGCCTGTGCTGGGACATGGGATGACTGACCAACCACAAAAAAAGGGAAAACAACAAACAAACACAAAACAAAACAAAACAAAAAGCACCAGACAAGCTATAGTCTTTTCCCTGCCACTGAGGACAGAAGCTGTATTTCTTGCTGATTCAACTTCCCACTCCATAAGGCTCTGCTGTGGGACACTAAGTCTGCCTTCCCGAGCCCACAGTAACTATCAAGAAAGAAAGAGAGTCCGGGTTGGAAGGCAAGTGGAGGTGGATTGACACAAACTGCCAGCTGACAATCATCAGGAAGGGATGGGGACAATGGTCTGGACCACAGCTACTTCCTGAGGGCAGCCTGTCTTCGTGGGTCACCTCCAGTTTCCTGTAACGCCCTTCTTACTTTCAGACCCAAAGTCTGATGGTTCCTACAGATTCATGGCTCCCTGGATAGGTAAGTACATTGAACTAGGAATATGGTTCGCCTCCTGCTTAGGTTTGCCAACATCTATCCATCTGGCCCAGATTAAATAAGAGGTGACTGGTACCACAGTCTCTCCACTCAACTCTGAATTGAGCCCCCTTTCCCTTCTTCTGATAAAAACCTCACACCTTCCTTATGGTAGGGGAGCCCTCCTGAAGGTCAGCTTCTCCCCCATCATTTCTGAGTCCTCGCCAATGATCTCAGCCTAACTTTTCACTGAAGTCCTCCGTTGACCCAACCCTGCTCTGTTTCAACCTCAACCTCACGGCTGTGCACCAGGCATTGGGAAGTCCCCTTCCTGACATGCACTAGCCTTGTCCAGGATGCCCTTCTTTCGACACCCTGGGTTCCTCCCCAGTTGTCCCCAGGCAACTCTTGGGAGGTTCCTTCCCCACACATACATCCATTGTGGTCCAGTGTATGGTTTGCTCATGTTGAATGGGCAGGCGTGGTTCCAGCATAGGCGGATGCTGACCCCAGCCTTCCACTATGACATCCTGAAGCCCTACGTGGGACTCATGGCCGATTCTGTCCGAGTGATGCTGGTGAGTTCAACCCCTCCTCACCTGCACACTCACACCCACAGCACAGTCCACAAAGTCCACTCTCAGACAGCTGTGTCCCTCAGACATCCATTAGACTTGGCCCTTGGAATCACCCACTTATACCATACTATGAGACAGGGCTTCCTGGGGATGGATGGAACAAGAAAGCACCCAGGCACCCACTTTCATCCACTCTTTGCTCATTGCCCACAGGAGAGACAGTCATGGCAGATAAAGGGTCCCTTCTCCTCCCGCTTCCATGCCTTTGGCTTGCACAGGAAGAGTAGTCAATGCCCCTGGACAACAGGACAAGCTGCCCCTGGCTGGCCTGGGCAGTAGCAGCTTCAGTGGTAGGGTGGACATCCCAGGATGTCACTCAGGTGGACTCTGGCCTGGGGCTGAAGGCTTCTGGTGGATTTTAGCCACTCCATGGAGGGAAATGGAGATCAGGTCTCTACCTCCAGGGCTGGGTCCTGCCATAACATCACCTCTGAGCATGACCCTATTTCTCACTCACTGTGCTCAACTGACATTTGCTGAATAAGAGGAATTGAGGTCTCTGATATCCCCTCCTTAGGAACCCCAGTACTGGCCCCTTGACCTTTCCTTTGCCTTGACTCTTGCTCCCTAAATTGGGACTTCACTGGTTTCTCATGTGTAGATCAACCGCAGGACAGAAAAGATTCCCCTTAGTCCCCTGAGAAACAATGTTTTCTGGTCTGCTAAAAGGAGGTTATCACCAAACTTATTCCTAAGTCAGACTATAAGAGATCATGATTAATTAAAAAACAATTAAATAACAACTTCCTCAGAGTATATTCTGAGAAAATACTCACCATATTACAAATACTTGGCTATACGGTCCTAAATTGATGAAACACAACCGCTTTAGAAAGTGAGGGCATCTCATCAGAATATGAGGAGAGGCAGAGAGAGAGTCTAGCCTTGTCAACATGGGCCTTCTGGAGGAGTAGAGAAGGACCAATGTGTCCCTCTACCACAGGACAAATGGGAGGAGCTCCTCAGCCAGAACTCAGCTCTGGAGATCTTTGGACACATCTCCTCGATGACGTTGGACACCATTATGAAGTGTGCCTTCAGCTACCAGGGCAACCACCAGGCAGACAGGTCAGTGAAATCCTTAGCTGCCGGCTTCTATTTCTTACCAACTAGTGTGGACTTATCTGAGAGGCAGTTAGGGCAGCTGGGATGTTTACCAGCCCAAAGAGCTACATTCTGCAGAGAGCTCCAGGCCACAGTCAAATTCAGCGCACACCAAGCCTTCATCCCTGCCACAGGGAGAAGCCTGGCTGCCCACATCCCTCATAAGGGGCTGAGAGTCTCGAGGGTGTAAGAATAACATGACAAATGCCTAGGGTTACCTGTCCCATTGACTGAGGAACGCTCCACCCACTGGCCCACTCCACTCCAGGTCAGATGCCTCCCTCCATCCAGTCCCTTCTGCATCCTCCCCTTTCAGGTACTTCCAATCCTACCTTCAGGCCATTCGGGACCTGAACAACCTGGTGCTTTCCCGGATAAGGAATGCTTTCTACCAGAAAGACTTCATCTACAGGCTGACCCCTGAGGGCCGCCGGAACCACCGGGCCTGCCAGCTTGCCCATCAACACACAGGTTGGGACTCTGCCCCCTGGGCCCCTCCCCTCCTTCATCAGGCACATCCCAAAGGGACTGACCCTGCCCCCTCAGGCAGAGTCCTGCCCCTCGCTGCCCCTCCAGGACCTGGGAAACACCCACCCCAGGCACTCCCCTGGTGCAGCTGTTAGGGTGCCAGGTGCTATGCAGGAAGCTGCATGTGTCACCACACGGGTGAAGGTTGAAGGAGAGCCCCTGCCAGCAGCATTCAAGCAGAGCCTCCTTGGGCTGCGCTGTTGAGGGGAGTGAGGACCGGCAAGCGCCTGGCGCTAGAGCTCTCCCCCGGAGAAGCACACCCATTCCCACGCTCCGGATCCACCTGGCAGGCTGACTGGGGCACAGGGGGCAGGTGGGCTACTGTGGGTGGCTGTGTCTGGGCACCCAGAGCTCTCAGCTCTGCCTGGGAACACTGTTCTGGACAGACCAAGTGATCAAGCTGAGGAAGGCTCAGCTGCAGGAGGAGGGAGAGCTCGAGAAGGTCAGGAGCAAGAGGCACTTGGACTTTCTGGACATCCTCCTCTTTGCCCAAGTGAGTGTGGCAGGGGAGGCCTGAGGCTTTGCAGACAAGTGTGGAGGAGGGGGGCAAACTCAAACCCTGCCCTCCTTCCCTGTCTCCCAGAGGGAGAACGGGAACAGCTTGTCTGACAAGGACCTCCATGCGGAAGTGGACACCTTCATGTTTGAGGGCCATGACACCACAGCCAGCGGCATCTCCTGGATCCTCTATGCTCTGGCCACACACCCCGAGCATCAGCAGAGGTGCCGGGAGGAGATCCAGAGCCTCCTGGGGGACAGCGCCTCCATCACCTGGTGAGTACTCATGAGATGGGAGGGCCCTGCCCCCTCAACTAGAGAATTCCCTGGTTGTCAGGGCCTTGCCGGCCCTTCAGGATAGCTTTGTTTTAGGGACCACCTGGACCAGATGCCCTACACCACCATGTGCATCAAGGAGGCACTGCGACTCTATCCGCCAGTTCCAGGTGTCGGCAGAGAGCTCAGCAAGCCCATCACCTTCCCTGATGGACGCTCCTTACCCAAAGGTGTGAGCCTCACCACTCTCACCCCATAAGTACTCTGCAGGAATGCGTGGGAGGTCAGAAATCCGCAAGTTCTGGGGCAGTTTGTGCATGTCTTTGAGACTCATTTCCCCCTCAAGTAAATCAAACATTACTTTGTTTGGATGAGGTTATGGTGTGCTTCCACCGAGCTTAAATCGGCCCAAAGATCAAGAAATAAATACATGACAGCCTCTGAATGGGGCTGTGTGAGTTGCCCTAATATTCTAATGTCCTGAGTTATGAGTGCTTGAGAGATAATCAGATGGGGCAGGGGTAGATGTGGTCTTTCCTTATAGGGTCTTGGCTAACGAGCGAGATTAGAGTATTCACTGTGAAATGTCAGATGGTCCAGTCTCCGGGGAACCCTCAGGTTGATGGCCCGATCTGAGATCCCTGCTATGACTGGAGGCCACCTTTCAGCTCCCCTCTGCTCCGAATCCCAGCCCTGCCACGGCTTGGCTGGGTGGTCATAGGCAAGTTGGTCAGCCTCTCCGTGCTCAGGTGCCTCATGGGACCAATGGAGATGTGAGCCTTCATTGGAGGGTTGTTGTGAGGATGGAGGAGTTCATGCATATTCCCCAAGGGCTCATGGATGGTACTGATAAATGTGAGTTGTCCCTTGAGTTGCTCCAAAAAACAAGCCTCCAGCTCTTTCCTGCTTCTCAGCCTGGTCATGGTTATCTACTAATCTGTGCACACGTGCACACATTCTGTGCCATGTCTGCCCCACGTCTCCTGCAACGCTATCATTCCATTCACAGAGATGAAAAGTGGCTCTCACTGTGGCTGCCAAGCTTGTGTGGGTGCACCTGGGCCCCACAGGCATGTATGATCAGTCTTCTCTGTTCTGCCCCCACAGGATTCTCAGTCTTGCTCTCCTTTTATGCCCTTCACCACAACCCCAAAGTGTGGCCAAACCCAGAGGTATGACGGCCTTGGGAGGAGGGCGTGGGATGACCTCTCCAAACCAACCTCCTTCTCCTGTCCCACCTCTGGGTCTGCTGTCCCTTGGATGATTGGAAGGAGGGGCCTGATTATGCCTGTCCTGACCCTGGTGCTCCTTCTGCAGGTGTTTGACCCTTCCCGGTTTGCACCAGATTCCTCTCGACACAGTCATGCTTTCCTGCCCCTCTCAGGAGGAGCAAGGTGAGGCACTTGTACCAGGAGGGGGGAGGGGCTGTTTCCTGGGTACATACCTGATGTTTGTGACCTCCTACATTTGTGTGGGTGTCTTTAGATATGCCCTGGCATGTTGGCGTGCTGGGAAAGAGGTGTGTGTCTCTATGACAAAGAAAGTTGGTAATCACTCCACGCCATGGACACTTGGACCCATTGCTCTTACCCAGTCTCCAGCCACAATTCAGTGTCAGTGGGTGTTCAAAAGCTCAGGGTATTCTTGTGAGTTCTTCATTTTATGAGTATGACTTTATAGAATTAGATTTTCTCACATGTTCTTTTCAAGTGTTGTCGATGTCAAAGTCAGGATGGAATCAAAAGATGTCTTTTGCACACATCCTCAAACCAGCCTTTACCACTCAGCTCCCCATTCCGCCCCACACTGCACCATTGACTACATTGCATGTGTTTCCATCCTCAGCTGCCCGCATGTCTCAAATACTTAAGCCATACACAGGAAAGTTTCCTGCAGTCTCCTAAGGCCTTCATAAAGTACTCGACTAATCTGTGTTGCCACTATATTTTCATCTATCCAGATGAATTTTTGATTCCACGGTAATGGTCATGTACACTTGACAATGTTCCCAGTTGTCCAATCATTACATATGATCTGGGCTCTACATACCTTAATGTTACACTTAGAGTCCAATCATCCAAATGGGCAAACATATAAAAATGAGGACATTAAATTGCTTTTGAGAGAAAATCTACTCTGTTGTATGTATATGACACACGGAGTTTGAACATTACCTGGTGTGTCAAACGTAAAGCACACTTGAAACGGCTGTTCAGTGGGATGACTATTCTCCAGAGTGGCCTCTGTGAAATCCTCTAGTGCTGCTGAAAGTGTCCTATAAATAGAAACTACAGTAAACTTTGTAAGTAGTTACTAGAAAAATGGTTTTTTCCAAATACAGAAATCTGTCAATGCTTCACATACGGAGGGAATCCACTTTCACACACCATCTTAAGCAAATTATTCTTCAGATACTGGCTCCAGGATTTGTTTCTCCCTGGGATTGAGTCCTTCCTCCTAGACATTGGTGCAAGTCATGTAGCTGCCAGTAGAGACAGGAGAGGGGTAGGCAGCTCAATTCCTAGCTCAGAACTAATGGTTACTCATATTTTATTCCATTCAGGGTTTTTTCTTTTCAGTTCAATAAACATCGTTCAATTATATCACTGCCTATCCTCTGCTATGAGATGGCATACTGACCTTGCCTCCAGGAGTTCACAGTCAAGAAATAAATGCTTCCACTCAAAAGAGACATCATTCGTCTTTCTTTCTTTCTTTCTTTCTTTCTTTCTTTCTTTCTTTCTTTCTTTCTTTCTTTCTTTCTTTCTTTCTTTCTTTCCTTTCTTTCTTTCTTTCCTTTCTTTCTTTCTTTCTTTTCTTTTTTCACTCATTTACTAATTGAGCCCACTGTAGGAAGCTCCATGTTCCTGGCACTTTCCTGTTCTGGAAAGTGATGTGTCTTTGAGTAAAATACATGGTGATTTCAGTGTTCAGGAATGAAGAGGCACAGCCAGCAGGGGTGGGGGGTGAGGGCAGGCTGGCATTGCCCTTAGCCTTGAGCATGTGGCAGGCAGAGGTGGAGGGAGGGCATTCTCTGGGATCTCTTCAGCAGGAGCTGAGCTGGGAGGAGGAGCTGGACAGGTGACAGGTGAGTGAGCCAACAACCCAGAGAGGACTTTGATGCCATCTGAGGCATGTGGACATGTCCTACCTGTGATGGAGAGCATGGGAGGCTCTGATCTGGGCTGGGGCTTCAGGAGAGGGAACAGAGGCAGGAGACTGAAAAGTCCGGATGAGGAGGTTGAGGGATGGCAGGCAGGACCATTGCTGCTGTAGAACTGGAAGGCTATAGCAGCTGGTTGACTGAGGGGCTGAGGGGGAGACAGGAGTCTGGACCCAACCTGGAAGGAAGTTGGTGCAACAGGCAGAGCGTCAAGGCTCTGCCCCTGCAGAAAGCTTCCCTGTTGTCATTCTGACTTCCTGACCCAACCCTGTCTCGTCCTTTCTGAGGATCTGGATCCCTGTGTGCCCCAGATGGTTAGGGCCTGAAGTGTGGCCCAGCCCACCCCCTATGGTGCCCTGGCCTGGTCTCCACATTGTGAAACCAGAAATTGCTTGTGCAGAGAGCAAACAACTTAATAATTCACTGTTTTAGTGATCACTTGACTTGGCCCCGAGGCTCAAGATGCTGACCCTCTTGTAACAGGATTTCAGGACTACTGAGACCAGAGGTAGAGTAGGAGCTAATCCTGGAAGAGTGTAGGCTTTGTCAAAGGTCAAGGGGAGAGTGTGAAACAAGCAAGACTGCGTAGGCGTAGAGATGTGTTTGTGTCCTGAGGAAAGGGGATCTGGGCTGGGCCCATGCAGGAGGGCCCTGAATGTGCTGTTCCTAGCAGGGGGTTTGAGGCCACTCCTCATTTCCGTTTCCCTCCCTGACCCAGGAACTGCATCGGGAAGCAGTTTGCCATGAACGAGCTGAAGGTGGCGGTGGCCCTGACCCTGCTCCGCTTTGAGCTGGCACCAGATCCTCTCAAGGTCCCTGTTCCCACTCCAAGAATTGTGTTGATGTCCAAGAATGGGATCCACCTGCATCTCAGGAAGCTCCTCTAACACTTGTGGGGACAAGGACAAGCCCCAAGGGCCTCCTGCCTGCCATCCTATCTTCCTGTTAGTCTCTCCTGTCTGCTGTGCCTAAGGACACAGGTTGCCCTGTTACAACCTTCAAAGACTCCTTGGTTGGAGTGTCTGGATAGCAGATGAATGGGAAAGATATTGAATGGTTAATAAACATTGACCATGCCAGCACAACTGACTAACACTCGAGCTCATACTCTACAGACAGTTCTGCATTCTGCTTTCATCACTTTATTATAAGCTCTACTCGCATAAAAAATTCTCCATGAGCATCATTTTCAATGACTGCTACATCTAGCCACGTGGTGTACTCTACATTTGCTCACAGAAACTGCCCTGCATAGTGAGACTTGGCCATTTGTGCCAATATGTCAGCTTGATACCTGAAACACACTCTTGCTCCTGGGAAAGGCTGGATCAAATAGAGCAAACACGAAATGTCCCCTGTAAAGTTTGGGAGATATCACATGTGGGCTGGAGGGTGGTTTTCAGCAAATGGTTCACAGCAGAGTCTCTGGGGCCACACTGCCTGGGCATGAATGCTGGCTCCACCTCTTACCAGTAGGGTGACCCTGAGCAGGCAGCTAAGCTCTTTGTGCCTTCTTTTTTCACTTAGACTACAGGAATATTTTTTAATTAATTAATTGATTGATTTAAATTCAAGTTAGTTAACACATAGTATATATTGTTTTCAGGAGTAAAATTTAGTGATTTAACACTTACATATAACACCTAGTCCTCATCACAACAAATACCTTCCTTAATGCCCATCACCTATTTAGCCCTCCCCCCACCCCACATCCCCTCCAGCAACCCTCAGTTTGTTCTCTACAGTTAAGAGCCTCTTATGGTTTGCCTCCGTCTCTGTTTCTATCTTGTTTTATTTTTCTTTCCCTTCCCCTGTGTTCATCCTTTTTGTTTCTTAAATTCCACGTATGAGTGAAATCATACCATATTTGTCTTTCTCTGACGGACTTATTTTGCTTAGCATAATACCCTCTAGTTCCACCCACATCCTTGCAAGTGGCAAGACTTCATTCTTTTGGATGGCTGAGTCATATTCCATCATATATATATAATGCCACTTCTTCTATATCCATTCACCCGTCGATGGACATCTGGGCTCTTTCCACATTTTGGTTATTTTGGACATTGCTGCTGTAAACGCTGGGGTGCATGTGCCCCTTCGAATCACCATGTGTATCCTTTGGATAAATACCCAGGAGTGCAATTGCTAGGTTGTAGGATAGCTCTATTTGTAACTTTTTGAGGAACCTCCATACTGCTTTCCACAGTAGCTGCACCAGTTTGTATTCCCACCAACAGTGCAAGAGGGTTCTTCTCTCTCTGCATCCTCTGCAACATCTGTTGTTTCCTGAGTTGTTAATTTTAGCCATTCTGACTAGTGTGAGGTGGTATCTCACTGTGGTTTCTGTTTAAGAGACTGTCTTTTTCCCGGTCGATAGTCTTTCCTGCTTTGTTGAAGATTATTTGGCCATATAGTTGTGGGTCCATTTCTGGGGTTTCTATTCTGTTCCATTGATCTCTGTGTCTGTTTTTGTGCCAGTACCATACTGTCTTGAGGATGACAGCTTTGTAATACAGCTTGAAGTCTGGGATTGGGATGCTTCCCTCTTTGCTTTTCTTTTTAAACATTACTTTGGCTATTTGGGGTCTTTTCTGGTTCCATACAAATTTTAGGATCATTTCTTCTGGCTCTGGAAAAAATGCTGATGGTATTTTGGTATAGATTGTATTCCATTTCTTTGTGGCTTCCACAATTTTTTTCCTAAGTGTTCTATAGTTTTCAGCTTCAGATCTCTTACCTCTTTGGTTAGGTTTATTCCTAGGTATCCTGTGGGTTTTGATGCAATTGTAAATGAGATCGATTCCTTGATTTCTCTTTCTGCTGCTTCATTATTGCTGTATAGATGCAGCAGATTTCTGTACGTTGATTTTATATGCTGTGACTTTGTGGAATTCATGTACCAGTTCTTGCCATTTTTTGGTGGAGTCTTTCGAGTTTTCTACGTAGAGTATGATGTCGTCTGCAAAGACTCAAAGTTTGACTTCTTCCTTGCCGATTCGGATGCCTTTTATTTCTTTTTGTTGTCTGATTGCCGAGGCTCGGACTTCCAGTACTATGTTGAACAACAGTGGTGAGAGTAGACATCCCTGTCGTGTTCCTGACCTTAGGGGAAAAGCTCTCAGTTTTTCCCCATTGTGGATGATATTAGTTCCGTGTCTTTCACATATGGCCTTTATGATGTTGAGGTATTTCCTTCTACCCTTACTTTCTTGAGGGTTTTTATCAAGAAAGATGCTGTATTTTGTCAAATGCTTTTTCTGCGTCTATTGAGAGGATCATATGTTTCTTATCCTTTCTTTTATTAATGTGGTGTAACACGTTGATTGATACGCACCCCTGCAGTCCAGGAATAAATCCCAGTCGATCGTGTGAATAATTCTTTAATGGACTGCTGAAGTCGATTTGCTAGTAACTTGTTGAGAAATTTTGTACCTGTGTTTGTCAGGGATATTGGTCAGTAATCCTCCTTTTTAGCTGGGTCTTTGTCTGGTTTTGGAATCAAGGTAATGCTTACCTCATAGAATGAGTTTGGAAGTTTTCCTTTCATGTCTGGTTTTTGGAACAGTTTCAGAAGGATAGGTATTAACTCTTCTTTAAATGTTGGTAGAATTCCCCTGGGAAGCTATCCAGCCCTGCGCTCTGGTTTGTTGGAAGGTTTTTGATTACTGATTCAATTTCTTCACTGGTTATGGGTGTGTTCAGATTTTCTATTTCTTCCTGTTACAGTTTTGGTAGTGTATATGTTTCTAGGAATTTATCCATTTCTTCCACATTGCCCAATTTGTTGGCATATGGTTGCTCATAATCATCTTACAGTTGTTTGTATTTCTGTGGTGTTGGTTGTGATCACTCCTCTTTCATCTGTGATTTTATTTATTTGGGTTCTTTCTCTTTTTGATAGGTCTGGGTAGGGGATTATCAATTTTGTTAATTCTTTCAAAGAACCAGCTCCTAGTTTCATTGATCTGTTCTACTGTGTGGTTTTTTTTATTTCTATATCATTTGTTTCTGTTCTAATCTTTATTATTTCCCTTCTTCTGCTATTTTATGGTTTGCTGTTTTTTTCCCCCAACTCCATTTGGTGTAAGGTTAGGTTGTATATTTGAGAGTTTCTTGGTTTTTGAGGAAGGCCTGGATTGCTATATGCTTCCCTCTAATGACCACCTTTGCTGTGTCCCAAAGTTTTGGACTGTCATGTTTTCATTTTCATTTGCTTCATGTATATCTTTTATTTCTTCTTTAATTTCCTGCTTAACCCATTCATTCTTAAGTAGGCTATTCGTAACCTCCATGTATCTGTGGTCCTTCCAATTTTTTTCTCATGGTTGACTTCAAGTTTTATAGCATTGTGGTCAGAAAATATGCATGGTATGACCTCACTCTTTTTGTACTGGTTGAGGCCTGATTTGTGACCCAGGATGTCATCTATTCTGGACAATGTTCCATGTGCACTCGAAAAGAATGTTTTTCTTTAGGATGAAAAGCTCTGAATATAACTGTTAAGTCCATCTGGCCCCGTGTGTCATTCAAAGCCTTGTTGCCTTGTTGATTTTCTGCTTTGATGATCTGTCCATTGCTGTGAGTAGGGTGTTAAAGTCCCCTACTCTTATTGTATTATTATCAATGAGTTTCTTTAAGCTTGTTACTAATTGATCTATATATTTGGCTGCTCCCAAGTCGGGGGATAAATATTTATAATCATGAGAACTTCTTGTTGGATAGACCCGTTTATTGTGATATAGTGCCCTTGTTCATCTCTTATAACCTTCTTTGGTTTAAAATCTAGATGGTCTGATATAAGTGTGGCCACTCCAGCTTTCATTTGATGTCCATTAGCATGATAAATGGTTCTCCATCCCCTCACCTTCAATCTGGAGGTGTCTTTGGGTCTAAAATGAGTCTCTTGTAAGCAGCATATCGATTTTTTTTTTTTTTTAAGATTTTCTTTATTTATTTGACAGAGACAGAGATAGTGAGAGCAAGAACACAAGCAGCGGGACTGGGCAAGGGAGAAGCAAGCTTCCCCCCGAGGAGGGAGCCCATTGTCGGACTCGATCCCAGGAGCCTGGGATCATGACCTGAGCCGAAGGCAGATGCTTAACGACTAAGCTACCCAGGCGCCCAGGTCTTTTTTTTTTTTTTAATCCATTCTGATACCCTATGTCTTTTGATTGGAGCATTTAGTCCAATTACTTACCAGTGATTACTGGTAAGTATGAACTTAGTGCCATTGTATTACCTCTAAAGTCGCTGTTCCTGTAGATTGCCTCTATTCCTTCTAGGTGTTGTTGTAGGTTTTTTGTTTGTTTGTTTTGCTTTTGGTGTCTCCTTCCCTCTCGAAGGGTCCTCCTTCATATGTCTTGCAGGGCTGGTTTAGTGTTTATGACTCCTTTTGTTTTTGCTTGTCTTGGAAACTCTTTATCTTTCCTTCTATTCTGAATGAGAGCCTTGATGCATAAAGTATTCTTGGTTGCATATTTTTCCACTTTGGCACATTGACTATATCATGCCTCTCTCTTCTAGCCCGCCAGATTTTTGTGGGCAGGTCTGCTGCTAACCTTACGTGTCTACCTTGTAGGTTAAGTACCTTTTGTCACTAGCTGCTTTCAAAATTCTCTATCGTGTATTTTCAAGTTTCACACTGATATGTCTCGGTGTTGACCTGTTTTGGTTGATTTTGAAGGTAGTTCTTTGTGCTTCTTGGACTTGGAAGCCTGTTTCTTTCCCCAGATTAGGGAAGTTCTCAGGTATAATTTGTTCAAATTTGCCTTCTGCCCCTTTTTCCTGCTCCTCTCTTCTGGGATTCCTCTGATATGGATATTATTGTGCTTTGTGGACTTCCTGAGTTCCATAAGTCTACCTTCAAGATCTAATGGTTTTCTTTCCCTCTTCTTTCC